GCGGCGTTCTGCATGGTGCGCGCGTGATGCCCCTGGGGAGGCCGGCCTTCGTGCGGACGGAAGCCTGCGGGAGGAACGGAATGGAACGGAATGGATCCGTGGCGATGGCCGCGCACCTCGTGGTCCACTTCATGACGCGGCTGTCGGAGGCGTTCCTGGCGATGATCTTCCCCGAGAGTCTGCTGCCGATGGGCCCCACTAGCCGCTGCGATGCTCGGCGTCTGTGTTTTGCCACGCCGGCCACAGGCGGCAGGCGCACGCGGCGAGGCGAGCGAGGGCAGCGACAGTGAGTACGGCAGCGCTGGGGGCGGTCCACGAGGGCGACAGATCGAACAGCGACATGGTCAAGAGGGTCCGAGTAGATGGTGTCGGGGGGATCGCGCCGCATCGCCGATGCATCGGCGACGTAGCTCGATGTGTAGCCCGATGTTCTCCACGTGGACGTCGCCGATGTGCCGCCGATGTCGTCGATGCATCGCCGATGCATCGGCTAGGGATGGCAGCTCGAGCCCGACCCCAGCGTCGGGGCCGTCAAGCCTGCAAGCTTGGGGCTCTCGGCGATCCCCGCCTGCCCGCAGCGCGGTGCGTCTCGCACCCTGCACACGTCTTCCCCGGCGGTGTGCGCGCTGGTCCTGCAGCCTCGGCCACGACGGCGGCTCGAGCGCCGCGGATCCCGCGTGCTGGGCCGGTGGCACTCTGGCGCGGGCATCCTGCGGCGCGCACCCCGTGCGCGCGCGGCTGCCTTCGACTCACGCGCCCCTCGGCTGTGCACTCATCATCCTCCTCTTCTTCGTCCTCCTCTGCACATCTCCTCCTCCCCCTCCTTCTCCTCCTCCTCCTCCTCCTCCTCCTCCTCCTCCTCCTCCCCTGAGTTCTCTGGTGACTACGAAGTCGCGCAGGCTGATGTTCGTCGTTTTCAGCCTCTGGGTGCAGTTTCCGGGTACGTGGACCGTCATAGATCGGCCCAGGTTGAAGCACATCGGGCCAAGGGTTGCAAGGGGGTCGAGAGCTCTAGGGGTCAGCGACTCGAAATAATTGGGTCGTCGGAGATGTGGGTCTCCTCCTTCTCATGTTTCCTGCTCCTGCTTCTCCTCGTTTTCCACCCTTCCCGTTCTACTCTTCCCAGCTGCTGCTGCTGCTGCTGCTGCTGCTCCTCTCCTCTTCCTCCGCCCATTCTCCCTCCCTCCCTCCCTCCTCGCCTCTCTCTCTCTCTCCCCACCCGCGGCCGCATTGCGCATTCAGTGCAGGTGGGGCTGCTGTCTTCCACCGTCTGTTCGCGAGGCATCCTCCAGCCCGACGACGTCGTCGGGTACCTGAACGGGGAGCTCGGGTCCAGAATCTGTTTCCTCGACGGCGGAGTGCGGGCGAGGATCGAGGCCGAGGGCCTCGACGAGGCGGCGTACCGCGGCGACCGCTTCCAGCACTTCCGGGCGAAGGACGCCGCCGGCAGGGCGGTGGAGCTCGCGGGGAACTACGGGCTGCTCGCGCTCACGCAGCCGGGGCTCGTGCAGGAGATGCACAAGGAGCCCGCCACACGGAATCTGTGCGCCGGGCGTTCTCGAGGGCCGTGGGCCCGCCCCGAATGGGATGAGCGGGGGACGCCGACGCCGACGACGACGGCGACGACGACGACGACGGCGGCGGCGGCGGCGGCGACGGCGACGACGACGACGACGACGACGAGGGCGGCGGCGGCGACGACGGCGGCGGCGGCGACGGCGACGACACCGACGACGGCGACGCCGACGACGACGACGACGACGACGACGACCGCGGCGGCGGCGGCGACAACGGCGACGACGACGACGGCGGCGGCGGCGGCGACGCCGCCGACGACGACGACGACGACGACGACGACGACCTCGCGGCGGCGGCGACGACGACGGCTGCGGCGTCCGGCCGCCGACGACGCTACGACGACGAGACGACGAACGACGACGACGACGACGACGACGACGACGGTGGGCGGCGGCGGCGAACGCCGCCGACTACGACGACGACGACGACGACGACAACGACGACGATGACGACGACGACGACCGTTGCGCGGCGGCGACGACGACGACGACGACGACGCCGACGACGACGACGGCGGCGGCGGCGACGACGGTGGCGGCGGCGAACGACGGTTACAGACGACGACGCGACGGCGGCCGCGGCGGCGACGGGACGGCGACGACGATGACGGACGACGACGTCAAGCCGACCGCGCCGACGACACGACGACCGATGACGGCGGAGGCGGCGACGGGAAGGCGAGCGACTCACTACGCCGAACGCCCGCCGACGACTACGACGACGACGGCGGCGGCGTGCCAGGGGGGGGGGGGGGGGGGTGGCGGCCGGCGGCGGCCGTCGACGACGACGACGATGACGACAACGACGATGGCGGCGGCGCGGCGGCGGGATGATGGCGACGGCGACGAAAACCACGATGACGAAGCCGACTCCGACGACGACCGACGCGACGACGACGCGGAGGGCGGCGGCGCGGCGACGACGACCGGACGGCGACGGCGGCGACGACCGACGACGACGACCGATCACGACGGCAACGGGCGGCGATCGGCGCCGGTGGCGGTGGCGGCGGGCGGCGTCGACTTCGCCGACTACGACGACGACGACGACGACGACTACCGACGACGGCGGCGACGGCGGCCGGCGACGGCGACGGACGACGCCGCCGCCGACGACGCCGACGACGACGGCGGCGGCGGCGGCGGCGACGGCGACGGCGACGACGACGACGACGACCACGACGACGGCGGCGGCGGCGGCGACGGCGACGACGACGACGCCGACGACGACGACGACGACGACGACGACGGCGGCGGCGGCGGCGACGACGACGACGACGACTACGACGACGACGATGATGGCGGCGGCGGCGGTGGCGGCGGCGGCGACGCAGCACCACCCCACACCCAGAGGGGGGGGGCTGCGGATTCCTGGGCTTCTAGGGAGCTCGGAAGTTTGGCGGCAGGATCGCGCCCCAGCGGCCCCGCGGCGGCCCCCAGCGCGCCAGCGGCCAGGAATCAGCCAATTCGAGCGACTTGCGGTATCCGATAGTCTCGATCGCTCAAGGTTGAACGTCAGTGCCGCGTCAGAAACCAACGCCGACGTTGTCGTGACATGAAACTGCCGTGGAGAACCCGTCTCTTCAACGCTCGAAATTCGCGCACATCTCTCGGCAGCAGTGCGGCGTCTCGTTCACAAGCTTCCCAGTTCTGTCAGGAGTACTTCCTTGCTGGCGCGGACATCTGCAGGACGATCACCCTCGGCTGCACGCGCGAGGGCCAGGCTGGCTACAGGATGCAGCACATGGTGTATGAGATGAACCGCCGCGCCGCGGAGATCGCCAAGAGAGCCGCTGCGGAGGCAACGCAGCTGCAGCCAGCGCGTCCGCGCCTCGTCGCGGGCACGTTGGGGCCCCTCGGCGGTGGGTGGACCGACATGTATAAGGCTTACGAGGAGCAGGGGGAGGGAACAACTACAGCGGGGGCCCATGCCAAGAAGCACCCTGCTGGCCTCCATGGTGCCCAGCATTTCCTGGGTTTCGATGGTTCTGCGATGGACAGCGTGGCGTTCCCGCACCGAAAACCCATGGACGTTCTGGAATCTCAGCTCAGGGTTGGGTCTCTTGTGGAAGGCTCCTTGTGGATTGGCCTCCAGTGCAGGTGAGGCGCTCCAGACAGAGGGCATCGCCTGCGGCGCATTTCGAATTCCGGCGGGAGGCCGGCGGAAGTGAGCCGGCGGCGGGTCCGCTGGCGGAAGCCGGCGGGAGCAAAGCAGGCGCCTCCCCCCGACAGGTGCCACCATTTTTGGATTCAGGGTTTCCGGAACCAGCCACGCAGGCGCTGGCCGAACCATGTCGGGGGCGGCCAACGGGGGGTATGTGGATGGCATGGCCGGGTCCACGATGATCTTCTCGGATGTAGTGGCCCCTGTTCTTGTTAATCGCTTCGCTCATTCCGCCGGCCCTGGCGCGCTATTTGGGGCCTCTTGGGGCCGTCTTGGGGGCTTCTTGGGGGCTTCTTGGGAGCGTCTTGGGGCCCCTTGGCGGCGTATTGGGCTCCCCTGGGGCCTCTTGGGGGGCTCTTGGGGGCCCCTTGGGGCGAGGGGGGGTAGTCGTTGGCAGCCCCCCCCTCGGAGGCCACGATCCTCGTGAGAGGTGGCGGAAAATAGCCCCCCCCCGGGGATCGCCCGGGGGTCAGCCGGGGATCGGGCGGGGTACTTTTCGTCCGGGGCCCCCCAGGGGCCGCCCCGCGTGTGCGAAGTAGAAATATCGTTAAGTAGTTACCGGAGATCTTAGCACTCCTCTGGCCCGTTGGGCCGGCGAATTGCGAAGGCCTTACAGCAGGTGCCGCCGACCATGAACGATGACGACGACGACGACGACGCTGACACTCTGGAGCCGAAAACTTCTCCCAGGGAGGGGTGCCCCCTTCCGTGGGGGGTGTCAGAACCCCCAGGACCCCGCACGCCGACACACACGCCCCGAGACCCTCCCCAGGGGACCCCCCCCTAGCTGGGGAGCGATCAAAGTGAAGGGGCTTCCCTTCGACCCGGTTGCGACGTTGCTCGATTTCTTTCTGGTTGGAACGCGTGAGTTTCAATACGTCCCCTCGTCCCCCCCTCGCCCGTGCACGTGCAGTGGGCAGTGGTCTGCGACCCCCCCCCTCTTGGACGCCTCCCTCCTTGGCCGCCCCCGGACATCGGTCGGCTTCCCTCGACGCAGGGATTTTTTGGGCTGGCGTTGGGGGGGAGCGCGCCGGTCTCGGCCACATGGTGGGGCCACGGAGAGGCCGAGCCGCACACCGTCGCGGTCCCCGCGCCCGCCTTCTGCGGCCGCCACCGACGTCGAGCGCGTCGCGCGAAGTCTCGCGCGCGCGTGAAGGCCTCCACCGCTTCCCTCTGCCACTCCCGTCGGCCCCCCCCCCTGACACCTGAAGCTCCTCCGCGCTGGTCTCCACTCATCAGAGGAGGCCGTCCGGGGCCTCATGGACGGGGGCGCCGACCTGCTCTTCGTAGACCAGGCTGCCAGCGCTCTCGGCGCCAAGGCCGCCGTCGCAGCCGCCGACGCATGTGCCGCGAGCTCAGGGAGCCCCGACCTGGTCGGCCGGGTCCCAGTCTGTCGGGCCAGTCCCAGCCAAGACGTCGACCGAGCGGGACTAGGGTGGTCGGTCGGCCCATGATCGGCCGGGGTCTCCGCGCTTTTGGGGCGGGCCATGCACCAGAGGGAAGGAGGGAGGAGGAGGGACGAGGAGGGAGCAGGGCGGACCTGGAGGAGGGGTGGCCGAGGGGGGTGGGAGGAGGGAGGCAGCCACTGAAGACCAGACCGCCGTGGGTCCGGCCGGATTCGAGGGGTGCACCCGAGGCCCTCAGGCTGAAGAGGCAGCGGCTCCCCGTGATCGTCTGCGCCTCCACCGGGGACGGCGGGGCGCTGCCCTCGGGCGGCTCGCTCGCCGCCTTTGCTGTTGCGCTCAGGCACGCGCGGCCCCTGGCGCTCGGCGCGGCGGGTGCGCCGGGGCACCTCGAGGCGCTGCCGGACGTCGCGCGCGGCTGGTGCGCGGCGGTGTTGGGCAGCGCTGCCATGGCTGCGGACGCCTCCGCGCTGGCGGCCAGAGGTCTGTTGAACTTTGTCGGCGGGGGCGCGGACACCTCGGCCGCAGATCTCGCTGCGCTGGTGGGAGCGCTGCGCACCGCGCCGCCGCGGAAGCCGCAGGCCCCTGCCGAGTCCAGCCTGCAGCTGTCTGGCCTGACGGGGGGCCCGACGCCGTGCGACGCGGATTTCCGAGTCATCGGCCAGCAGTGTGCGTCTATGGGCAGCGCCAAGTTCAAGGCGCTCGTCGACACCCTCAAGACCTCACTCTCTGGCGCCCTTTCGGGGGCCAGTTTCGGGTCTGCCGTCGACTTGTGCGCCCAGCAGGCGGACCGTGGTGCCGACATCATCGACGTCAACCTCGATGCGGACGTCGAGGACCCGTCCCTTGCCGCCAAGGGTGCCCTGATGGCCAAATTTGTCTCCGCGTGCTCGAGCCACCCAAGTCTCCGCGGCTTGCCACTGTCGATCACCTCCTCCAATTTAGAGGTGATCCTAGCGGGTCTGCAGAGCGCCCCCGGGAAGTGTATCGCGAACGGGCTTTCCTTGCTGTCTGGAGAAGAGAAGTTCGTCTTGGCGGCCAGAGAGTGCCAGAGGCATGGCGCGGCCGTTGTCGTCTTCTCGATCGACGAGGGGGGTCTCCCGGAGAGCCGCGAAGGCAGGGTCCGCGCCTGCCAGCGCAGCTATCATCTCCTGCGCTCGAGGCTGGGGTTTCCCGCAGAGGACATCATCTTCGACTGCTGCCTGGGCGCCACCACCGCGCTGGATATCGGCAAGGCGTCGGCCGACTTCATCAGCGCAGTGGGAGAGGTGAAGAGCACGTGCCCGGGCGTGTCGTGCGTTGCGGGCCTGGGCAACTTGTCGTTGCCGTTCCGTGGTCTCAGCATGATACGTGACGCGATTCACGCCGTGTTTTTGCGGCAAGCTATCCCCAGAGGGGTCAACCTGGCATTCGCGGAGCCGGGATGTCTGCCTCGGTGCGCAGACATCGACCCAGAGGTGCGAACGCTCTGCGAGGAGGTGGTGCTCAACAGATCCGCCGACGGCAAGCACGCGGAGCGCCTGCTGGCCTACGTCAACGTCCACAGCGGCACCACGGTGCGCCTGGCCCTGACGAGCAGCTCTCCGCCGGCCTCCGCGGGACTTCTGCCGCGGGCCCCGAGCCAGCCCGCGGCGGCGCTCCTGGCGCGGCGGGGGCGCTCCACGCCTGCCGAGCAGAAGGCCCGGGGCGGCCAGAGCCGCGGGGATTCAACCAGTGGCGAAGCGTCTTGGCTCGCCTGTAGCCCTACCAAACAATGTTCTAAGAGCCTTTCGTGGTTTGCACGAAATGTTCTTAGAACATTTCTGGTGGAGTCTGTCTTGTTTTGTCACATCGGGTGTATGTTCTAAGAACCGTGTTTTCGTTCTTAGAACATTCTTGGGTTCTAAGAAGATCTCGTGGTAGGACTAGAGGAATGCCGGGACGGTCGGTCCCTGCTCAAGGGACGGCGAGACCCGCGCCCTCCCTGAGGGAGGGCAGAGGGAAACAATGAGTGAGCACCCCCCTGCCCCCCAAACTCAAAGTTGGCCCGCGCGAGGGAGACTGCGGTCGGGGTGCAACTCCTCAGACCCACCGCCAACTCTGAGCATTGGGGGGAGGGGGAGGCGTTCACGGCTGAATGTGGCATGAGTGTTCGCGCTATTTTTTTCCGAGGCCTGGAGGATGGGGATGGTGAGGGGGGATGAGGTGGACCTTAGGCCACCCAGATGGGGTCCGAGTAGATGGCCTCGGGGGATCGCGCTGCTTTGCTGATGCATCGGCGATGCGGCTCGACGTGGAGCCCGAGTTTCCCCTCGCCGATACATCGCCGACGTCGCCGATGCATCACGGATGTATCGCCGATGCATCGCCGATGCACCGGCGATGTTGCGCGATCCTCCGACCCCATCTATCAGGGGCCCATTTAGGAGGCCTCCAGTAGAGGAGTTCGAATCTCACCGTTCTCGTGGTTTGTGGGCTGTCCTGAGAAGGCGCACCTGCTCTCCTTGTGCCCGCAAGCTGCCCGCTCCACTGGGCGGGTGGCGCGGGCGCCGCGGGGCAGCTGCTGGCTGGTGGGCCAGAGGTGCAACGCAGGTGGCTCGGCGACCCTCCGGGTGCTCGCGGAGGCGTGCCAGGCGACGAGTGGCGCGCGCAAGTGGGAGCCCGTGCTCGAGCTGTGCGCGCAGCAGCTCGAGAGGGGCGCCGACGCCCTCAGGCGCCGACCGCCCTCGACCTGGAGCCGACGCCCTCGACCTGAACTTCGACGGGTGCCCGCTGGAGGGGCCGGCCGCCATGGGCGAGTTCGTCCGCCTGTGTGTCCAGGACCCGAGGCTAGCGAGCGCGCCCCTCGTGATCAGCTCAGGCTCGTGGCCCGTCATCGAGGAGGGGCTGAAGCACGCGCAGGGCAAGGGCATCGCGAACGCGCTGTCGCTGGCTTCTGGGGAGCAGGAGTTCCTGCAGATGGCGAGCACGTGCAAGAGGTACGGGGCCGCAGTCGTGGTCCTGCCGGTGGAGCGGCAGGAGCGCGCCGCGTCGCCCGAGGACAGGGTGCGCGCCTGCCGCAGGAGCTTCGCGCTCCTGCGGGAGCGCCTCGGCTTCCCCGCGGAGGACATCATCTTCGACTGCGGGCTGCTCCCCCTGAGGGACGCCGAGGACGCCTCGCAGATCAGGGGCTGCCTCGACGCGATGGAGGAGCTGAGGACCGCGTGCCCAGCCGTGTCCTTCGTGGCGGGCGTGGGCAACCTGTCCCTGCCCTTCCGCGGCGTGGGAATGCTCCGGGACGCGCTGCACAGCGTCTTCCTGCACCACGCGGTGCCGCGCGGCCTCAACATGGCGATCGTCGACGCCGGTCGCCTGCCGCGCCACGGCGACATCGAGGCCCCCACCCTGCAGCTGTGCGAGGAGGCGGTGCTCGGCCAGCGGGCGCCCGCCAGGCTCTTCGCCCTCGCGGAGTCCCTGGCCCCGCCGGCCCCGGAGCAGCAGCCCGCCGCGGGCACCGAAGCGGCCGCTCGGGCGGAGGACCGCCATAGAGAGCCTCGTGGCGCCCAGCCCCGGCGAGGGAGGGTTTTGCGGGGGGTCGGTCTCCGGAGAGGAAATGGTACGGACACCGCTCGCACTTCTGGGCCTCCTGGGGGGCCCTCGTCGCCACCTCTGGATCCGCCTCGAACTCGTGGTCGGACCGCTCCCCAGGAGAACTCTGAGGAGCAGCGGCATCGGTCCCTCCTCCCGGTTTCCCCGCGGTCGTTCGGGCGCGGCAGTGCAGCCCGCCAGCTCGCCGAAGCCAGCGGGCGGCTCTTGCTTGCTCTCGTGCCGAGGCGAGAGAGGGGTGGGCGGCCCTGCCCGCCTCCCCTGAAGCCAGGGGAGGGGGGGAGGAGGAGGAGGAGGGCTGGGGGGGGCCTGGCCTCGGGCGTTGCCAGAAGTGCCCCTGGCCCAAGGTGCCCCCAGCTTGTCGCTCCGTTTCGGAGCACCTCTGGGCCCTGGAGAGGAGCCCTGGAGGCCTCGTGAGGGGTGCCCCGGGCCTCGTGGAGGGGTGCCCTGGAGGCCCAAGGGCCCTCGGGGCCTCGTGGAGGGGTACCCTGGAGGCCGCCGCCCGGGCCACCCTGAGAATCCTGGGGCACCTTTGGGCCAGGGGTACTTCTGGCTTCACCCGATGCTTGGGCGTGGCTGGCAGGAGCAGCACGGCGCCGAGGAGGGAGCCTGCGCCAGGCCCGCCCAGCCCTGCGGCAGGGTCGCGCGGCGCTTCCGCCCCGGGACGGCGGTCACCGACCTCGTCCAGGCCACGGGCACCCTCGACGGGTCCATCTTCGGCCTCTTCGGCAGCAAGGCCCATGCGGCCCTGAGGCTCACCACCCACCAAACCACCCCAACCCAACCCGAAGGCTCAAATTTACCCTCGATTTCCAGTGGGGGAGGGGTCGGGAAACATCGAAAAAACACATGTGGAACCCTTGCCCCCCCCAACCCGAAATGGTTGGGGTGGTCTGGTAGGTAGTCAGAGGCTTCACAGCTACGCACATGGCAGCCGCCTCAACCGCGTGGTCTACTTCTCCTCCATCTCCGTGTGGATGGGCCAGGGCGGGTCGGGGCCGACCGTGGGCGCGAGCGCGATCCTGGATCTCCGGGCCCCCACCCAAGGCCGACACAGAGCCGGCACTCCCTTCCCTCCAGGGCGAGGAGGGGGGAGGGCAGGGGAGGGCCAGGGGGGGCATGGGGGAGGGCGGGCGAGAGGGGAGTGGAGGGGAAAGAACAGGGGGGAAAGACAAGCTAGGTGCGCTCGCGCCATGTTTGACATGCTATCCCTTCCTCCCATCCCTTCCCATTGCGCTGATTTGTCCCAGCGGTCGCGACTCCTCCTTCTCTTTTCTCCCCCCCTCTTCCTGCCTCCTCCTGCGCTCATGGGTGGCTGCGAACTGTGCAACTGGCGCCACTTTCTTGGGCTCCTGGGAGGCACGGCGGAGTAGCGGAGCAGCCGAGACCTCGCAGCTCCCTGGGTGGCTGCAAACTGCGCAACTGGCGCCACTTTCGCGGGCTCCCGGGAGGCAGCTTTGCCTGTGTATTTTGTGTTTGCCTCGCGCTCACTAGTCCAGAACACTGTCGTTGCCGCCGCTGTCGTCTTTGTCGTCGTCGCCGTCGTCGTCGCCGCCGCTGACGCTGTCGTCGTCGTCGTCGTCGCCGTCGTCGTCGTCGTCGATGTGGTGGTGGTCGTCGTCGTCGTCGATGTGGTCGTCGCAGTCGTTGTCGGTATTGTCGTCGTCGTTTGCCAGCAGCTGGGGAATGGCGAGGTTTCTGCTTCCCGAACGGAACGACCGCTCCCCTGCATTGGGGAGCTGGGTCTCCCTGGTTTGGAGGGGTGCTTGTTTTTGTATGTGGATCTCTCGGGTGGGGAGGTTGTGAGGGAGACCCTGCCCAATATTTTCAAGGCAAGCGCCCGTGAAACGCGTTCTTTCGGAGAAGTGGCATTGGTGGTGGGGTGTGTGCGTGGCGTTCGCTGAAGAGCGAAAGGAGGTGCCGTTGGGGCCCGTGTAGTGGAACGGCACGGGACACGATACAGACATGGTATTCCGATACCAGTCGCGGTCCGAAGAGGCCTTTTTTGAGTGGGAACCTTGGTATTGATGATTCTCTTGAAGTTGGACGTATCCCAGAAGTCGTGGGACTGGTGAAGCGCGAAGGGCACGAAACCAGACAGATAACAGGGTATTTGCATAGCCCGCGCGGTCTGACGCAGCTTTCCTGGAGTAGGAAATGCGGTGCTGGTGGGACTTGTGGAGGTGACATGGCAAGGTGGTATTCTCTGGTATTCGGTTCACCGAAACTAGTGCAGTGGGAAGTGCACGCAGGAGGAGGAGGGACTCGTGCAGAGGGAAGGGCATGCAGGAGGGCCACGTGGGGGCAAGAGAAGAAGGGGGAGTGGAGGATGGCCCGAGAAAACCAGAGCCCACGACCCAGTCTGTGGGGGAAGAGTCCTCTCTGGGGCGGGGGTGGGCGGAGGGCAGGATGAGCGGTTGGCCCCCAAAGACCCACAGGACGGGCTCGCGCTCTGGCAGAGGCAGCAGCAGCTCGGCACCTCGGCCTCCACCGTGCTCTGGGGCGCCATCGGCCAGATCGGGCTCCGGCTCGCCGTCTACGGCGACAGGGACGTCATGCCCCCGAGACGACATCGGAGGGGGAAGGAGGAGCGGGGGAGGGAGGAGGAGGAGGGCGGGAGGGAGTAGGAGGTGGAAGGGGGGAGGAGGGGGGGGAGGAGGCAAGCCAGGTGCGCTCGCGTCATATCTGACGTCCTACCCCTCCCTCCCATTCTTTACCATGGCGTAGATCTCCCTCCCATTCTTTACAATCGGATGTCGCAACACGGCATAGCGTTACATGGCATATCATGGTGTTGAAGATCAACGCGTAGAGGACGAGATTGATGACAATGATGGCGACGACGTGGACGACTCGCAGGCGGTGGAAGGGGAGGAGGAGGCGCAAAAATACGACAATTTAACAGAAAGCATGAGAGAAAGGGGTGGGGATCGCGGAGCGCGGAGGAGAAGTGGAGGAGGAGGGAAGGAGGAGGAGGACCAGGAGGTGGAGGTGGAGGAGGAGGAGGACCAGTGTAAACCCAAGAGTCATCAACGATGTTGGAATGAACCCTTCCTCCAAGCTCCCTCTTCATAAGTCTCTATAACGGTTCATTTCCATTGCTGCCTCGTTGGAAGACAACCGTTTGAAGACCTTGAAGCATGCCAAAACATTGTGCTCGGGCTTTCCACGCCACGGATCAACCTGACTCTTGCGTCCTGACGATCTGCAATCGTGCCAGAACGTCTTTTTTTGGATTTCAACACCGCGAATCAACATAACTGTTGCACCGGCATAGTCCTGAGTCTTTCCAAAACACAATGTCTGGTACGTTGATCATGGGAATCCGTGAAACCCTTGCAGTTTTCTGGAACAACTGTGCGCGGCGCTGAGGCCTGAGCCACATTGTGAAGACCATCCGCCCTCAATCCGTGAAGATCTTCTTGCAGATTTTTTAACGGATGTGCGCGGCGCTGAGGCCTGAGCCACATTTTGAAAACCACCCGCCCTCAATCCGTGAAACTCTTGCAAAATTTTAAAAGCGAATGTGCGCGGCGCTGAGGCGAGAGCCACATTTCGAAAACCACCCGCCCTCAATCCGTGAAGTTTTCAAACGAATGTGCGCGGCGCTGAGGCGAGAGCCACATTTTGAAAACGACCTGCCCTCAGTCCGTGAAATTCTTCTTAACATTTTTGAAGCTTCAGAGTCAGAGTGATGAAGTCTCAGGCGAAAAGCCCAGCCCGCCCTAAAAACTGGCCTCGGGGTGCGTCAGGGAGAAGTTATTTATAAGGGAAAGGAATGGAGGAGGAGGTGAGCAGGAGGATGAGGTGGAGGGAAGATGCGGCGGAGGAGGACGATGGCGAGATGGAGGAGGATGAACGGGAAGAACCGGTAAAGAGAAGCGGCGTGAGGATGGGGATAATTATGAAGTTGCGAAGATGGAGGAGAATTTGGCCGACGTGGAGTAGGCAGGTATCGCAGAGACGGAGGAGTCAGAAGAGGAGACGGAGAAGGATGAGCAGACGGAGGAGGAGGAGGAGGAGGAGGAGGAGAAGCAGCAGCAGCAGCAGCAGGAGCAGGAGAAGGAGAAGCAGGAGAAGGGAAAAGCACAGGAAGGAGGGGGACGAGGGGGCTGAGGATGGGAAGGAGGAGGGATCCAGGGTCAGCGTCGGGACTCGGACGGGCCGATGACTCCGCGATCGAAGCGGATCGGGGCGGTGGGGTTGCTCGGGTTCTCTGTCAACGAGAACCTCCTCGCCTCGGGAGCGACTTCGCTGGCTGCAGCAGGACTGCATCAGGACAAGAAGGAGGGCACGGGTATGCCTGTCAAGGAGGCGGGAGGGCGAGGAGGATGAGGAGGAGGAGGAAGAGGAGGAGGAGGAGGAGAAATAAAGGGTAGAAGAGGAGGATGAGGGAGGGAGGGATACAGGGTGGTCCAAGGTCATGGCGCTGTACGACCTCGGGCAGAGGCTGATTGGCCCAGAGGACTGTCAGAACCTTGTAGCGCCCACTGGCATCGCCCCCCCTCCAGCCTCTCTCTCTCTCTCTCTCCCTCTCTCTCTCTCTTCCCCGCTCCCGAGGAGACGTATCCCGGGAACGGGGAGGGCTGGACATGTATCTACATTTGCTGTCCTTGGTCTGAGAGTGGCCAATTCGTGATAGCCGCTGCCCTTTGCTCAGGTCCGCCATGCAGGCGAACACAGCGCAGCCCAGGAACCCAGCTCCTTGGGCCAGGGCCCTCCTGTTCGAGTCAAAAAAAACTGCAACATCGCAAAACAAACCATGACTGGAGCCCGGGACCCCATCTTCCTGTGCCATCTTTCGAGCCGGATCGATCTGTGAAGGTCCCAGCCCGAAACCGGGCGAGAGCGACCGCTGCGCACAAATCGCAACGCCAGGATCTGAGAGGAGGAGGGCCCCCCCGAAGGACACGCAGTTCCTGGAGCGGCAGCTCCTCACCTGCTGCGACGTCCCCGAGCACGTCAGCCTCGCTTACCTCGACGAGACCTGGCAGGACACGCTGTCGGGCGCCGCCTCGGGCGGCGGCCTGGAGCGCGGGCTGGAGCGCAGGACCTTCGCTTGGTTGCCCCCGGATGCGACAAGGCTTTATTTTTTTGGCCGTTCTGAACACTTCCGGAATGTCAGAACCCATATAGATCCGAGGCTCCGCAAAAAATGGGAGCGGCTGGTTTTTGGCCATTTTCGGCCCTCAGGGGCCCTCAACGGGACCCGGGGCCGTCAAACGACGACTCGGGACGAAAAGCCGGTCCTCGGAAAGTGGCCCAGACCCCCAGGGACCCACGCATCACAAGATTGGAGGGCCGCATGTCTGGGAACAGACAACACGGCTCCCGGAAATGGAGGAAGGATTGCTCCGGGACTGGGGCCAGGACCGGAACCGAAGACGAGAACGGCAGCGGTTCACCGGGAGACACAAAAGGACGGTGCTGGAATTGGCAGCATAAACCGCAGAACGGGACCGGGAGCAGAGGACCTTCGCGGACCTCCCGAGGACCTCCCGAGGACCTTCGTTCGTTTCGAGGGCCCTCTTCTTTCGTTTCCAGGGCCCCCTTCCTTCGTTTCGAGGAGCCCCGTCGTTCGTTTCCAGGGCCCCTCGAGGACCTTCGCGGACCTCTGAGCGGCGCCCCCCCTCCGCCACGCGAGGGGGCCCCGCCCCGCCCCGCCGGCGCGGCGAGGCCGGGTGCCGGCGCGCCGAAAAGAGGGAGGAGCGGAGGCGTCGGGGCGATGGTCAAGGGAGGGCAAAGCACCCCGCATTGCGGGGGGTGGTAGTCAATGGGGGGCCACAGAAAACGAAACGCATGAACAAGAATACGCAACTCAGAATTAATGACGAAACAACAAAGCCGACAAGGACCCGCTTTGCGCGAACATGTCGATGCAAGCTAGAGACAGCAGCGATGCCTCGAGAAAGCTGCCGTGAAAACACTGCGAGGTATCAGGGTGACGACCTAAATGGGGTGTGAAGGAACCGGCCCAACAGGGGCCCTGCAGGGCCCCTGTGGGGCACCAACTGGCTCCCAGAAGGGGCCCTGAAGGGCCTCTTCAGAGCCTGTTCCTTCACCCCCCATTCACTAATCGTGGGTCACCCCCTCGGTCCCCTCCTCCCCTGCTCCTCCTCTCTCCTCACACCTCCCTCCTCCTCTCCTCCTCCTCTCCTTCCTCCTCTCCTCCTCCTCCTCCCACCCTCCCTTTCCTACCTCCTCTCCTCCCCGCTTACCCTCTCCTCCCCGCTTACTCCCTCTTTTCCCTCTTCCTCACTCGTTACTCCTCCCCCTCCTCCCCCTCCTCCTCCACCCGCCCGACAGACCTCCACACGGTCAGGAGCTGTGCGTAGCGTGTCGCTTCGCCGGCTCTGGCCCACCACGCTGCGGGGCGGCACGCGGCCCGTCTCTCGGTCCCCGGGTGTCCACGCCCCGAGATTGTCAGAGCCTCCCGCCCCGCGGAGCGGAACGCCGCGCTGTCCACTCGCAGGGCGTGGTGTGTCGCCGGGGCCGCCGCGGCGACACGCTAAGCAAGTGTTCCGGACCGTAAGTGGCGTTTACGACACGGCCCTAGGCGTTTACTGAACAGCCCTGCCCTGTTCGGTTCCGTCCCTGGGTGCGTGACTAGCGGCGGCACTTGTCGGGGTGCTCATCGTGAGGGTGGTGCTTCTGCTCCCTGGATGGAGAGACGGAAATGGGGGCGGGGAAGACGAGGATCTAGGATTAACGATCAACGATCTCGACTTCTGTGCCGACGCTTTCCCTTCCGACGGCGGCTCGATCCTCCGCCAAAGAAGCCGCGCGGCGCAGAGCCGGCCCGGGAGCCCGACGAGCTCCGCGGACGAGGGCCAGGGGAGCCGCCGCACGACGCCAGGTGGGCCGCCGGCGACGGTGACCAGCAGCAGACCAGCAGCGGCGAACGTTTCGTGGCGTGCACGGAATCTTCTTTGGAGATTTCTGGCTGAGACCGTCGTGTTTTAGCACATCGTTTTGTGAATCGACGGTGCCTTCGCTGTTAGGACGTTCTCTTGTTCGAAGAACGTGCCGTGGCTGGCCCAGCCCACAGGGCATGCCGGGGCCGTCGGTCCCTGCTCGGAGCAGACATCGTGCGCTTGTCCCTTCGGCCCTTACGCCGGCCCACCCTCGGGCGGGCTGGGTTACAGTCGCGGAGGCGAGGCCTCAGCTGCTGGTGCGCCGCCTGCCGCACGCCCGAGGTGCGGTGTCAGAGGGCCGGCGCCGACGAGAGGGCGCGGGGGAGGACCGGCAGCGCCCACATGGGGATGGGGCGAGGGGGATGGCCCTCCAAGAGTCTGGAAGACCGCAGTGGGGACGGAAAAGATGGTGGCGAAGGCCGCCCGACTGGTTCCTGCCCACCCTGGGCAGAACTCGCTGTCGGCGTCGCCGCGAACGCAGTCCACCTGGGACAGACGTCGGCACCTCAACGGCGGCCCCTGATGGTTTTGGAGAGCACCTGCTGTTGGTCATCATCGTGCCCGTGTGTTGCGTCCCCGGTCCGGGCGTGCCAAATCATGAGGCCCAGGCCTCCAACATCGTGAAAAACACAAGACGGAGATTCGGGGTCATTTCCGTCTGCATGCCGTTTTCGGGCCCAGGTGGGCCATCCGAAAACGTCAGGGATGAAGAGTTTGTCCTTGGGAAGGGGTCGAGAGGTCCGTGGGCTTACGTTCAAGCTACAAGATGCCTGAGGGAGCAGAGGAGTAACAGCGGCAAGGGGAAGACACTTTCTGGTCACGGGTGCCCATATGGAGTGCGTCTCGGCAGCCGTAACTTGGGGAGCCATCTTTGAGGCCTGTCTCGGCCGTTTTGGGGCCTTCTTGGGGCTATCCTGTCCTCTTGGCCCGTCTTGGGGCTCTGACGGTGGCCTCGTGGGCCGTCTTCAGGCTATCTTGGAGTTCCTTGTGGCCGTGTTCGGCTGTCGGAAGCCCGAGAAGGCTAGAACTCGAACATAATTGGAGAGTCCTTGGGAAACGAATGATTCATTGGCTGACGCCGCACCGCCGACCCCTTGGGGCGGCACTAAGAGGGAAAAACGGAGTTTGCGGAACGATTTCTGGGGAATCTTGGGGTTTCAGCTTCTTGGGATTTCGTCGGGGGCGGTTGGCGGATCGCCGCTCTGCTCTTGGGCTTCTGTGGGCTCTCCTGGCAGCATTTTTGAGGCCTCCTGGGAGCAATTTTGAGGCCTCTAGGAGCCTCTTTTGGGCCTCTCGGGGGCCCTCTTGGGGGCCTATTGGCGCCTCCTCAGGTTTTTTCGGGGCCGAGTGCTCGAACTGTTCATTCGGGTTCCCCCTCTGGGCCTCCTCTTGGGGCCGTCCTGGGGCCCTCCTGGGTCGTTTTGGAAGCTTCTGGGGCCGTCTTGGGGTCCTCTTGTGCTGTCTTGGAGCCCTCTTGGGGGCCTCTTGGGCTATCTTGGGTCGATCTTAAAGGCTTCTTGGGTCGTTGTGGGCCTCGTGAAAGCCCAAGAGGCGAATGTGCTAAACATATGCGTTTTCCATCGGGAAAGGGCGATATTTGCTTCTGGAGCGCCTCTTGGGACGCCTCTTTGTGGCTTCTTGGGGCGTCTTGGGGCCTCTGGGACCGTCTTGGAGCGATCTTTCGGCGACTCGTAGCCCTCGTGGACCGTCCAGGGGGCCTTCTGGGGCCCTCCTGGCCCGTTTTGGGCCCCCCTGAGGCTCCAAGGGTGCGGCCGACACCTTTGCCCCCCCCTCCAAACTGGCCAGACCGGGCTCCCGGGTGAGGGGTTTGAGGAGGGGAAAGCATCTCACACGCCGTGACCCCAAGGGGGTCGGCGGATTTGGGCTTCTTCGGGCCCTCCTGGAGAGCCTCTTGGGCCGGCTTGAGGCAGTCTTGGGCTCATTTTCTGCCGTCTGGGCCCTCTTTGACCCCTTTTGGAGGTGTCTTGAGCCGTCTTGGAGGCATCGTGGGGACATGTTGGGGCATCCATCTCGGATGCCTTCTTGGGGCCATCTTGGGTGGGAAAGCGGATGTAAACTGTTTTTCCCAACCATCCTGTGGTGTTGGGTCCTCGTTTTGAAGAGACGGTGCCCGCGTCCTCTCCTCTCCTCCTCTTCCCCTCCTCCCTTTTTTCTGCTTTGTTCTTTTTATTCTCCCCTCCTTGCTTGCTCTGGCACACCCCTCACGCGTTTGTAGCCCCACAGGGAGCTCACCACCGAAGGCCCCAGTGGGGGTGCGTGTTCGCTATGTCGCGTTTTCCCCACCCAGGGCAGCGCAGCGCTTTCGTAGGCTGTCCATAGGGAGCTCACGAAGGCCCCAGTTGGGGGTGTTGCAGGCGGTCTCCCCCACCCAGGGCAGCCGTTTTCGTTTGGACCTCATAGGGAGCTCCACCGAAGGCCCCAGCGGGGGTGTTCGCATGCGGTTCCCCCACCCAGTGGGCAGCAGCGCTTCGTAGCCCCATAAGGGAGGCTCCACCGAACGCCCCAGTGGGGTGTTCGCAATGCTTTCCCCCCACCCTGCGCAGCGTCTTCGTAGCCCCGCTAGCTTCGCGACGAACAGGCCCCAGTGGGGTGTTCGCATGCGGTTCCCCCACCCAGGGCAGCGTTTCGTGGCCCCATAGGGAGCTCCACCGAAGGCCCCAGTGGGGGTGTTCGCATGCGGTTCCCCCACCCAGGGCAGCGTTTCGTAGCCCCATAGGGAGCTCCACCGAAGGCCCCAGTGGGGGTGTTCGCATGCGGTTCCCCCACCCAGGGCAGCGTTTCGTGGCCCCATAGGGAGCTCCACCGAAGGCCCCAGTGGGGGTGTTCGCATGCGGTTCCCCCACCCAGGGCAGCGTTTCGTGGCCCCATAGGGAGCTCCACCGAAGGCCCCAGTGGGGGTGTTCGCATGCGGTTCCCCCACCCAGGGCAGCGTTTCGTAGCCCCATAGGGAGCTCCACCGAAGGCCCCAGTGGGGGTGTTCGCATGCGGTTCCCCCACCCAGGGCAGCGTTTCGTGGCCCCATAGGGAGCTCCACCGAAGGCCCCAGTGGGGGTGTTCGCATGCGGTTTCCCCACCCAGGGCAGCGTTTCGTAGCCCCATAGGGAGCTCCACCGAAGGCCCCAGTGGGGGTGTTCGCATGCGGTTCCCCCCCACCCAGGGCAGCGTTTCGTGGCCCCATAGGGAGCTCCACCGAAGGCCCCAGTGGGGGTGTTCGCATGCGGTTCCCCCACCCAGGGCAGCGTTTCGTGGCCCCATAGGGAGCTCCACCGAAGGCCCCAGTGGGGGTGTTCGCATGCGGTTCCCCCACCCAGGGCAGCGTTTCGTGGCCCCATAGGGAGCTCCACCGAAGGCCCCAGTGGGGGTGTTCGCATGCGGTTCCCCCACCCAGGGCAGCGTTTCGTAGCCCCATAGGGAGCTCCACCGAAGGCCCCAGTGGGGGTGTTCGCATGCGGTTCCCCCACCCAGGGCAGCGTTTCGTGGCCCCATAGGGAGCTCCACCGAAGGCCCCAGTGGGGGTGTTCGCATGCGGTTCCCCCACCCAGGGCAGCGTTTCGTAGCCCCATAGGGAGCTCCACCGAAGGCCCCAGTGGGGGTGTTCGCATGCGGTTCCCCACCCAGGGCAGCGTTTCGTGGCCCCATAGGGAGCTCCACCGGAGGCCCCAGTGGGGGTGTTCGCATGCGGT